AACTTTCATACATATTTTGTATACTCTGAAGTGTTTGTCATTCTTCCTTTGTTGCCTTGGTTTTGGGTCGGTTAATAGATTTGGTTTTTTTTTTTTTTTGCTTCTAGAGAATCTCTTTCATTTAATGATTTTTTTTTCTTTTGACCTTCAATCGGTCAATTTATAACTATCCATCTTTTATAGTGTTGGGTGAAACGATTAGACATCTTTTAGGAATAGAGACCTAACCCATTGTTATTTTTTCTCAATCAGTACATTTCTATGTTATCGATGTCGGCAAGTGAATTAGTGTAACCTTAATTACAATCGTGTCTTTTGGTACATGTCTTTTCCTTGTCTATATAATAGACATTTGCAGAGAGACATAGACAAACTTGTGTCCATTGACACCAAGAGGAAACTCTAGAGAGAGAGAAAAATGGTTTAGAGAGAGAAAGCTTTGAGAGATCAACTGGAAGGGCATTTGAATGGTGGTTTGTGGTTGATTTCCGTCAGTGATCTCAACCTTGATCTCTGCGTCGATTCCCAGTCCAATCCATGCCAAGTTCTTCACCAAACCAGCCAAGGCATGTCATCGGTTTGTAAGAACATCATTGCTGAGTTTAATCGAGGAGACAAACTGGATGGTGATAATTACGATATTTGGTATCGTAAATTCCACTACGTACTCGAAGAGCAAGGGGTGAAAGAGACTCTTTTCCATCTCATGGAATAGCCTGAGCAAGGTACTACAGCTCATCACATGAGAGATCAAGAGGCATATGTTGCCTGGAAAAGAAAGAAAAGAATAGCTCGCATCACGTTGCTGAGTTGCATGCAAGATGATTTCATGTGTGGGTTTGAGGAGTACGAAACTGCAAAAGGCATGTGGGAGGCCTTGAAAGAGAAGTTTGGTACCACATCGGCTACCAAACTTAGGAGACTTAATCAAAGGTTTAATGACTACAAGAAGCGCCCAAACCAATCCATGAGGCAGCATCTTAGAGTCATGTCAAACATGATTAGAGAACTCAAGAATGATGGGCAGACTATGTCTGATGAACAGCAAGTGCAAGCTGTTCTACGGTTTAACGCTTCCGCATATAAGATTAACTTGGTGTCGATCGAATGAATAGATTAGCTAGAGAAGGGCTTCTAGGCCCACTCGCCTGAGTTGATCTTCACACATGTGAACCATGTTTAGCTGGAAAAGCAAAAAGGAAACCATTTGTAAAAGCAATCAGAGCTGAATATCCA